AGCTTGCAGGACTGGCCTAGGGTAATTTTTAGGGGGGTTTTAATTATATTTTAAAATTCGACAAATATTTAAATATTCCTTTTAATTAATTTTAAATTTGTATTGTTTTGTATGTATTTTAAATAGATTGTCAGCCGCCCTGAGTCCTACGGGAGAAGGGCGGGATATAAATCCAAAAAATAAAATAAATAAATAAATAGTTGCTGACAATCAGTTTTTAATCCACTTTGGTTTGTATTATTAAAATGGTATGCAGATAGAATAAATAGATGTATTTTTTTAAAAGAAAAAATCCCAGAATCTTGTAGTTGACCATCTTTGTATGACATAATACACTTTTGGCAAGTATAATAATTTGTGTCAGCAGTAACAAGTCTATACAGGTTTTCCTGTATGTTGAAAGAGTCAATTGACTTCCTTAAATTTCTCTTTTTGGCTATCCCATTCTCTCATTCACTCACCAGTGCTGGCAGTTCTTCTATATTGGGTAAAGGAATTTCATAGTGGTCTGGAAATATGACAAGTTTAGCTTCATCCTCATACTCATAATCATCATTATTTAAATCACCGTTAGATTCAAGATCTATCAAGAGAGAGAAAAAGATAAAACATTATTGGAGAGAAAAAAACAATATATTAACTAAATTAAGGCTGCTCAAAGAGATGTGTCCTGAAACAAATTGCTAATGGCATGTTGTGATGATAGAATTTTTTTCACCGACATCTGAAACACTCATTTATGGGCCAGAGGTGAAGTGAGGAAACACTGCAACGAAGACTATATGTTCATCTGCAGCAAACACCATCGCTGACTATAGGGGGCGAAATCTTGGCCCCCTCAGAGAGGGCGCGCAACTTGGGAGTCCTCCTGGATTCGCGGCTGACATTGGATGACCATTTGTCGGCCGTGGCCAGGGGGGCGTTTTATCAGGTTCGCCTGATTCACCAGTTGCGGCCTTTTCTGGACCGGGACGCCTTGCGCACAGTCACTCATGCTCTCGTCACCTCCCGCCTGGACTACTGTAATGCCCTCTACATGGGGCTCCCTCTGAGGAGCACCCGAAGGCTCCAAATGGTCCAGAATGCGGCCGCGCGGGCGGTGTTGGGAGGGACTCGTCGCTCCCACGTAACACCGCTGCTGCGCGAGCTGCACTGGTTGCCAGTGGCCTTCCGGGTGCGCTTTAAGGTGTTAGTTACCACCTTTAAAGCGCTCCATGGCATAGGACCTGGCTACCTCCGAGACCGCCTTCTGCCACAGATTC